TCAAATGCTGTAACTACTTGGGAAAACAATTCACCCTTATCTAGTGAAACTACACATGTGCATGCCCTAAGATCTAGCCAGTTTCTAGATTTTTACATTAGAAAAATCTTATCCACATGAACAAGGACATGTGTAAAAAATATATGTATTAGCACTATCTGTGATAGAAAGAAACTCAGACAATATAAATGTCATCAAAAGTCTAATGGATAAATTTATTGTGGTGTCTTCACATGGTTGACTATAATGCAGCCATGAAAAATGAATGAAACGCAGCTACACACACAACATATTTTTCTTTAAGGAATGTATCACCACAAAATTTAAAACTTACAGAAGAATACTCATGAATCATTTTAAATTCTGAACATATGTGAAGCTAATCATTTGTAGTAATGCAAAATATAGGATAAAAGTCATAAAGAAGGAAGGGAATGATGGACTCAGTGTGTGATAGTGCTTAGCTCTCAGGAGAGAAACTGTATCTTCAAGGCCCTATTCCTTTTTAATTTTGCATAGTGGATAAACTTATACATGGCGGTTCATTGCTTACTTATTCATATATGCATAAACACGTTCTTTGCATGTCTTAAGAATTTTATCTTCTTAAGATTTGTTTTTAAAACTATTAAAATACAGTCACATCTGTGAACAAATATAAATTGGTTGAACATCACATAATAATCTGTATTTGAATGTGTATGAATATTTGAATATGTGCTTGAGAATTTTAGAATCTAAGTTGTGCTTGTAATGAATCCTAAGGTCAAGGAAATATACTGACAGTATTTTGAGCAAAATTTACTGAAATTTTTTATGGTAGGATTATGGAAAATAGAATCTCTAGCATCTGAATCATGTTCTAATTTATGTGATAATGCTAATACTAACCAAACTCTATTCTTATCAACCTCAAAGATCATATGCCAAATGAATACACATGAATTTATATAGTAACTGTGTTGGAAGACTATATATTCTTGTAAACCCTCCTTTGAATTAACATTAAGAACTGACTCTCAGTAAAATCTACATACTCCAAGATTCTCAAATAGATTAAAGACAGATAGGTAGATATGTGGATATAGATACATATATACACACATGTATTTATGTATGTGTTTATATATGAAATATATACACACATTTGTATACATATGGGAATGTGTACATACAACGTACACTTATATATATAAAATATAAAAAGTGACTTTTATTAAGATAAAATTCTTAATATATGCAAAGAATGTGTCTATGTATATATGAATATGTAAGCAATGAGCACCCAAGTATCAGTTTATCTACCATTGGGAATAAAAGATATATGTGGGAATTGGATATCTAAGATACAGTTTCTCTTCTGACAGCTAACCACTATCACACACCTGTTCCATCATTTCCTTCCTTCTCTATGACTTTTACCCTATATTTTTGCATCACAACAAATGATTAGCTTTGCATATGTTCAGAATTTAAAATGATTTATCATAAATATTCTTCTGCAATACTTGATTTTTTGTTTATTTTTTTTCATTTAGTTTAAGATAAAAAGAAGAGAGAAAAATATCAAGCATGGATGTCAGAAAGAGGTGTTAGTGTTTTTTTCTGTCACACACTGCTCTCAGTATAGTGTTTCCTAAAACAGAGTTGATACATTTTGAGTAGGAATACATTATATCTAAAATTTCAAAATGCATTTTGAAAAGGTCAGTCTAGGTAGCTCTTACCAAAGTATTGAAGGATCTGCACATTTAGGTCAACAAAATAAGTAAAATTGTACCTGAAATGCTTTCAGAAGTAAACTAACTGTTGTGTTTCCAAATTTGTGATACTCGTTATATATTTTTTGTATTGATTTACAAACTCTACTTGCTTGGTGGTGGGTGTGGTGTGGTAAACATACCTCTGAATGGGGTGTGATTGTACTCCTCTGCATCATATCCAGTGTTGTAAACCAATGTTATCTCAATCAGAAAATCTACACATTCTAAGATAGATGATAATGGATAGATAGGTAGATGTATGTAGATCCATATACACATATGTATGTATATGTGTTTGTGTATATATATGGTTGTATACACACATCTGTATATATGTATATGGGAGTGTATACATACAACATACACACACATATATATAATATAAAATGTGACATAAGTGCCTTTTCTCAAATAGAATTTTTTCCTCCAACAGCTAATGTTTTGAGTGTTCAAATTGCAGGGCATATTCACATAGTGAATTTCAGAAATGCATCTTTTTTTTTTCTTTAACCATCTAGATTGCATGTAAAATCTAATATCTTCTCAGTGAACCATGAGGACTTCCAGCAAGATTTTGTCCAGAGGAAACTTGTTACTTGAAACCTGTCATTGTACTTTGTATAATAGCAGCTGGCAGACAGTTACATTACTCCATAACTTTTAATTTTCAAATTAGCAATTACTGCCACACATCGTTTATTGAAATGGCTAACTGAATTACAAGCAAGTATTTGTCTGAAAAAGGGTTTTTCATAGAATCTGAGAATGTGTTATGATTGATAGCATGGAATTCATGCAAAATGTAAGTTGAATGATGATGAGACTTCATCTACTTCAAGGAAGTTTTTCACCACAAATATGGAGGGATTGCCAAACAATAATCATGCACAACCCTTGGTTTAGTTGCTCAGATCTCCATACAGAGAAATGGAACAAATCTTATATAAGTTTAATGAAGAATCTATTCTCTAAATTTCCATGGCTAAAAGGCCCTAAGAGTACAGGGATCATAGGACCTGCATCATGTAGGGGACACTGGCATTTGTATGTAATCTCCAGTCAGCATTCAGCTGTAAGTGTTCAGTGCCACACAGGCATACCCATCAGCTTCAGACTTTCCTCTGGGTCAAAATATCAAGTGAAAGATGATGAAATAGAATATTTTATGTAGCCCTTTGCACATTAAAGTTTCACAGGCAATTATAAACCTCTTGGTGCTTCCTTCATTACTATGACACTTCCAATTAAATGAAACAACCATTTGCAACCAATAGAAGGTTAATGTTTTTATAAGGCACTCATTACTTCTGAATGTGAGAAAAGATAGGTTTTGTAAATTAAAACATGTTGTACCTGTTTCCTTGTTAAATTCAATTTTGTACCTTGACCCAATTTGGAATAATGCAAATTTTTACTTTAAACGCAGTTTTTAAGTCGTCTTCATGTACCAATGCATTCAACCATGACAGCAACCTAATGATACTGATAACCATTACTCTCCCACTTAATGGATTAGGGAACTGAGGTACAGAGAGATCAATTAATTTAGTCAGGGCCTCCCCTGGTGACGCAGACAGTTGAGTGCCGCGCTGTGAAGCTGTCCGCAGCCTCTGCAGCACCAGTTCGATCCTGGCCGGCCGGCGAGGATCCCACATGGCGTGGCAGACCTCTCCTGACTTGCCCGCTGCTCCCCTTAGCAGTGTATTTCATCAGTCTGCCTGTTCTGCTCCCTGCTCTGTCTCTGGTGAATTCTCTCACCCTCCCGCACATCTGGCCTGTACCCCGGTTCTTGTATGAATAAATACATAATTAAAAAAAATAGTCATCATGCAACTAGGAAAAAAAATAATTCTACCATTAAATAAATTCTCTAATTGTGTTATCCACCTATCTCAGTCTTATTTAGATGACAATTTAAATGTTGAATTTAAAGCAATTTACACAACTTGCCCGTTAAAAGAATAGAGATTTTAGCAACACAGTAAAACTAAGATTTGATGTGACTACAACTTGAAAGTATATGTGTCGGAATGTTCGCAAAGAGAATCGGTTTTTAGGCTTGAAAGGCTTTTTCCATCTCAGTTACTAACCACAGCTGAAGTGGTTTTTTTTAAATCTAGAAATGTAAGGAGAACTAAGTAGAGCCCATCACTATAGCTAAGACTTTTACTTCTTGGTCACTGAGAACTAACCTAAGATATTGGGGGCACTGGTGGTGGGCAGGATGTGAAAGTGTATATTTGTAGAGGTTAGACCCTATAACCCCAGAAGCAGATACAAAGACTTAAACCTACTTTACCTCAATTAACATAACTTGGAAAGAAAAATAAACAAATAAAATAAGCATTCCCTGGGCTGACTCCCCTTTCCCAGGCAGCTAAAGATCTTGGAGGCAAGAAGCCATTATAGGATTAAAAATTTGTCATGGATAATCCACAGAGAAAATAAACCCAGTGTGTATAATTGAAAGTGGGTAAATTTGTAACTTAGGAGCTACTGATAATTAACTCATGAGGAAGTTCTCCATAGTAAATTCCCCCTCATTATCTAACTTCTAAAATAGACTGGCATTGGCATCTTTCTAAATAGAAAGGCATTTGTATCTTATGATAATTTTACCACCTTCTCTGCAAAAAGTATAGATATTATCTTTCTTGATAAGATGCCAGTATTGTAAAGATTTGAGCAATCTGAGAAATGCACAAATTTTTCTCTCGGTGTTAAACCTCCTTCAACTATAAAAAAAAAGTTCAGAACAAATTCCATACTTTCATGTTAAAGATATTCAAATGTGATTTCTAAAATGTCTTAAACTGGAGCTACAGTTTCAGAAAATGCAATGAAACATCATGGAAATATATCCATTTGTAAAGAGAACTTGCATGTTCGACTAGCATTTTAAAAATGAGCAATGAATAATGGCAACATGAGTGTGTGAATTACTTATAGTCATATTAACCTTTCCAGTCTAATAATCACTTCCAGATAATAACCAATTAAAATTGTACATATTATAGATTTCCCATGTACCAATCTGCAAGGTGCTACCAAATAATATGGGAATTTACTTAACACAGTCCCAACAAATGCTGATCAGACATTAAGACATTAATTTTTCCCTTTTGTTTTTTGTAAAAACTAGGACACTTTATATTCAAAATGACTGTAATTGAGTTGGTATTTTAATTGAAATTTTATCTTGCTTTTTTGACATATTTCCTGTTTTTCTAATTACAGGTTTCATATACACTGGGGAAGTTGTACATCGAATGCTAACAGCCACACAGTATATAGCACCTTTAATGGCAAATTTTGATCCCAGTGTATCCAGAAATTCAACAGTCAGATATTTTGATAATGGTATGTATTTGCCATCCTGTCTTTTTATAACTGAATGTGTGCTATTATACATTAATAATTACATTCTTATTAATATTTTTATAAACCTGTGGGGTTTTTTTGTTTGTTTTGGTACACTGGATTAGTAAACTACTTGTGCAACTATCCTAAGATGGCAAATGTTATACTGTAGCTGTTAATACATGAAGTAAAGTATATGTTACTCATTCTCGCCTGTTTCAACAAATGTTTGTTAACACCCATTAGGCATATAATAAATTGCTTCTAGCAGTGCCTTTAACAAAAGAAATACATTGACTTGATGTTATTTGTGATAAGTCCTTCCTGTTTAAAAAATGAAATAACCAGGATTTCTTACATCTGATCTTTAAGTAGAAGCAAGTTGAATAATATATTGAAATTAAATTTCTAAAATTTATGGCTATGCAGGATGAACACACCTTTTGATGATAGAGGAGTCATTGGTAGTAAAAATATACTTAAGAAAATGGAGTTTTGACATGTTCGAATGTGTAATACAGATTATTAAGGTTGATCAAGTATACTAACAATATTCTATACTTACTATTTCTTTGAGGGATATAGAAAATAGTAAGGTAAAACCTAGAAAGCTAACACTAATAGCTATTTAATCTAAACAAGAAATTTAAAGTCCTGAATACATAAATGGATCTTTACATTTTATGTAAGGTATTAACTTTGGTAGAGAAAAATTATAGGAAAAAGAGACTTTTGAAAACTTCAAGACTGTGTTTTCTGTGTTTTTAATAATACAAAAATACTATTTATTTACTCAAATGACAATTTTGTCTTCAAAAATAATGGAATAATTTGACAGAGACAAAGTTATTTCTACTTTTATTTTAATGATCAAGGAAGAAATATGCTAGGAGGTAATATAGACTTAATGGTGAAATTTGCTTTGGGGAAATGTGATCATTTTGCTAAGAGCAATTTTCTGACCAGGGTAATGAAGACATTTTACATGTCAAAGATAAAAAGAAGAACATTAAACATGGATTTGTACTCTGAAAAATACTTTTCAAATAATTTGAATAACACCAAAATGTGATCTAATATTAAATAACTCTGAATGTTAGCCATAATAATTATTCCCCCTATTATTTTTAATAACTGTTAGAAATCCTCCCACTTAAAAAATAATTAAGATCCCAGGGCCCAAAATGTACAAGTAAATAATGAGTATACTAGAGTCAGAACTTAAGTCAGAAATTTATCTCATCCTTATTAGATAACCTGCCAGAATCTACCCTAGGAAAATATGAAATGATTTGATTAAAGTTGATAATTTTCCAGGCTTTGTCACTTACTGGGTAATATTGGGGACATTTACTCAGGAACATGTTTTTGATGATAATGACCAAGTGTTTTTATTTATTTAATTTGAATATTCAAATAAATCTTCCCTATATACTCTCTCATACATCATATTCCTACACAACTCTTAATACTTTAATTTTACTTTTATTTGAATGACTTTTTCTACTAAGATAATATTTCTGTGAGTTTTAAAGCCTACAAATTTAAAAATGAGATGCTTCCAAATTTTATAGCTAGCCCAGATTACTGAAATCTTAACCATGTTACAAATACTAATGCACAAAAAATAGATAAGTTATAAAAGTCCTTTTACTGGAAAAAATAATTAGTACCTCATAAATAACAAATAGTAAAGTATGATTATTGCAAATGATCAGAAGCCTGATTATGCATAGAATTGGAAAATTCGGAGTTGATAGTGACCTCAAGTGGCACTAGATCATTCCAATTGCCTATTTTTATTTGGAGATGAAAAACGCATCCATCATCATTCATATAATTTGACTGGCAAATAAATAACATGGGATGTTCAGTTCCAATAAGTGCATTTAGTGATATAGCTCACATGATCTGCCATAGAGCTTAGTAACAACTTCATCAGTTCATCCGACTTGAGTCCCTGGTTGTCTCTCAAACTTCTGTGATTGACCAAACAATCATCTTTGTCCTCAGTGGCTTCCAGGAGTTAAGGGTGAGCCAAGACTCATCAATGTCCCAGTGTCCCAAGGGAAAGATCATAGTCAGTATCCAGATGCAGAGTGATTTAAATCCAAATCCTCAGGCATCCACTGGGAAAGTATGAAGTCTACTAACTTCCAGGGAGAAACTTGGAGGCAGGTGTTTTGCCTGCTCTGAGTGCAGGTATCTATACCTGCAGGTATTTCTATGTATGATATACCAGCTCTCTGTGCAAGTATATTGCTGCAAGTGTATACATGTACCCATTTAGAAATATCTTCTTTGCTTGCAGTTATCTTGTAGAATGTGTAAGTGCAGCCTGTTGGCTATCCAAACCAGGTGATTTGGATGCCTATCCCTCAGATGTCAGTCATGAATTGGGGTGGGGGGTGTGTGGAGTGGGGAGCAGTAGATGTATAGACAAGTTGCCTCCAGATAGACAGTGGTAACTTGGTTTTATCATTAAGTGAGACTGGAAGGAGAAGGTAGAGGAGGTGACAATCAGCTCTTATGCCCTTTGGGGAAGATAACAGTCAGCAACTAGCTGAGTACTAATTAAAAGTCAGAATTTCAAATAGCTGTTTGAAAGCACGCTCATCCTTCCACATAAATACTGGGAGATGGTCATTTTTGCCTGCTCCCCTGTGCTGAGCTCTGGGGAGGTGCCCACAGCAAGTTGTCTGCCATGACCATGACTGCTTAGCATTTACTTCTTTGTCCACTATGGTCCTATGCAAGGCCCATTATCTATCAGAGCTAAGTGATCTTGGGGTCTGTCCGCCTGGTGACAGGCATGTGTATGGACTCCTTCCAGAGAGGTGCTGGGACCTAGTTTGATCATTAGGCAAACCTGATGTAGAAAGCCCAGTAAGTGCCCACCAGCTCTTTGGTCGCAATCAGCACCTAGAGGTGTGCGGTTTCAATTTGGGGATTTGCTCAGTGACATGATGTGTTGGAGTCACTCAGCTGGTTCTGAATTTCATCAGAAAAAAAGTTCTCTATGTATTGCTCTCCATTAGGTATGTCTATGAGAGGAGGGAAATATAGGAACCTCCTGTATCAACATCTTGGTCAAAAGTTCTCAGGTTTATGGGCCTCCCTGGTGGCGCAGGCAGTTGAGTGCACTGCTGTGCAGCTGTCTGCAGCCTCTGCGGTGCAGGTTCAATTCCAGGCTGCTTGGCCGGTGAGATGCCCACATGGCACAGCAGACCTCTCCTCTCTTGCCCGCTGCTCCCCTCAGCTGTGTATTTCAGTCAGTCTGCCTGTTCTGTTCCCTGTTCTGTTTCTGGTGAATCCTCTCACTCTCCCACACATCTGGCCTGTACCATGGTTCTTGTATAAATAAAATAAATCTTAAAAAAAAAAAAAAAAGGTCTGGGCCTCCCCGGTGGCGCAGCAGTTGAGCGCTGGGTTGCGAAGCTGCCTGCAGCCTCTGCAGCACCAGTTCGATCCCCGGCTGCTCCCCGGCCACCAGAGGAGGGTCCCACATGGCGTGCAGACCTCTCCTGCTCCCCTCAGCAGTGTACTTTGGTCCTTCTGCCTGCTCTGCTCCCCACTCTGGCTCTGTTGAATTCTCTCATTCTCCCAAGCTTCTGACTGTACCCAGTGCTTGTATAAATAATAAATAAATAAATCTTTTTTAAAAAAATAAATAAATAAATAAAACCTATGTCTAAAAAAAAGAAGAAAGAAAAAAAGGTCTCAGGTTTGGGCCTCCCTGGTAGGCAAGGGGTTAATTCTCAGTGCTATCACTGCCACAGCATGAGTTTGAACCCAGCCAGGGAGCTACCCACATGATTCACCAGACCTTTGCTGTCTTGCCTGTTGCTCCCCTCAAGTGGTGTATTTCAGTAGATCTTCCTGTTCTGCTCCCCACCCTGTGAATCCTCTAACCTGCTGAACTTCTAGCTCACACCCCAGTTCTTCTATGCATAAATAAAATAAACCTTAAAAAAGTTCAGGTTTAAGTTTTACTCAAAAACATAGTAAAGACAATACCCTTTTCTCCATCAGTCATGGGGTATGGGGTTAACTCAGAAACTTACAGATGAGAGAAATGATTAGGGAAAGGGATGTGGAAGGAGGCAAAAAGTTTCCCTGCCCTTGCTGGCCACACACCACCTCCATGTCTTCACTAATCAGGACCCTTCCTGCCATACAATCTTGATTTTTTTTCTCTTTTAATCAGATATTCACTGACCTGGGAAATAAGTTTTGTTCTTTTATTTCTGTGAGATTCATTTTCACTATAACTTTTTTTGCAACATGAATTGTTAGTGAAAAAGAGTTACATCAAATTTTTTGCTGATATTTGTTTTCTGTTAAAAAAATAGAGAACAAACAATATTAGTTAAAAATTTGAATTCTCATTGGTGGCTATTGAACTATGTTTCAATTTATTTTTCATGTTAATTGTTTAAGTAAATGCTGGCAGATTGACTCATCAGAATATAATACATAGCACTGAAGATACATCCCAGTGCACTTCAAGGAGCTTCAGAAATCTTAGCCTGCGGCCCTTTAAGCTACCTTGCAGCCTCCTCCAAGCAATACAACAAAGACCGAAATGCAGGCATTCTGAATCAAAGGAAAAAAAAATCCCATTAGTGTTAAAGGAATTTCTTCAGCGTGGGAGAGTATAATTCTAAGTATGGAAGAAACATTTTCAGGTCTTTTATAAGTGATTCTAACTTTCCTGAATGTGTTTTCTTCTCTCTCAGCATTTGTCAAATGTATTTGAAGTTATTGAGTCCACTTGGGCTACATATTGAAAGTGGCTGTTGGAAGTTTAAGAAAGCAGTGCCCATTAACATTAATGGACTTCCTAAGGCAATATTCCCCCATACTGGGCTCAGTATTCACCTCAGTATGAGGTTAGATTCTACCATATATTTATAGAATACTCAGTTCTTTAAAACTATCCCAAATGTGATTTCAATAACTGAATTCCAATTAACTATATAAAATTCAAGTTACACAACTAGTAGATTTGAAGGCTAACTCACTGTTTTTGTGATAACTCCCCACCACAATTGATTAATGTATTTTTCTCATTTTATGTCTTCCATTCCAATGGAATTTATAGGTACAGCACTTGTGGTCCAGTGGGATCATGTTCATCTCCAGGATAATTACAACCTTGGAAGCTTCACATTCCAGGCAACTCTCCTCATGGATGGACGCATCATTTTTGGATACAAAGAAGTAAGTAATGTGTTAGTGATTTCCTTCCCCTTGACCTTGACCTCTATCTATTCTTCTAAGTGTCAAGAGGAGGTCATTTTACAATTATGAATGTCAAATCCTTAACTCACCTCTTGGTCTTTTTTTTTTTTTTAATTGGAACATTTTTAAAATCTGAGTAACCCTATTTAAATTGTCTGGGCTTTGTTTAGTTTTTCATTGTGATACCGTTGGCATTGTGATACATAAATTTCATAAAATTATTGAGTATTTTCTAGTGATATTCTAGTGAAATAGTGCCAAGAAAAATATTTCTAATTTGGAAGAATTTCCCCAAATCTAAATGTGATTGTATATATTTACATTTTCCTTTATCTTTTTCCTTGTCAATATCTGTAATTGTTTTGGCTTTAATTCCAAAAATATTTGTAGACATGAAACTGCTATAGCTCAATGACCCAATACTGAAAGCATTCTGGGACAGCTGAGTCCACAGTCCCTATGACCAATGTTCATTGCAAGTGATAGGAAAAATTAACTAGACATCTAGGTGACAGAAAGAATAAGGGAATTTAAACTTATGGTTTCTTTCATTTTGCCAAACTGACAAAGTAAAGGATGGGAATGTAATAAATTATAGCATTAAATTTAAAAATGTGTAAGCTGGAATAATAGCATGTTTGTTTTTAAACTCTGTTGGACAGTGTAAGCAAGGGATGTCAGACAACCAGCAACATTTGTGGTAGAAAACAAAACTGTAGAAGAAAAATTCCAGGGTTGGCAGATGTAATGTTTTAGGCATTTGCTGGCTATGAGAGAAATTTATGACAATGGGAATTAAAACTTGGCATTTTTACCCATAGGTTAATGGGTATTTATAATAATACAGAATGGCATCTTATTTTCAGTTGAGGGATCCCCCCCCACCCAGGAAATGAATCCTATGCTATTAAGAAGATGTTGATAATTTAGAAAGGACTCACTTTAGTCAAGTCTTAGGAAATATTTCAAGTCTATAATTATGTTTCAGTGAAACAGACAAACTTTCGGAAATCTCATCGTCAGAATAGATGTTTTCACTTCTTTAAACAATTCTTCCATGTAGAATTATCATTCACTTGGGGCACTAATGTAACTAGACTATACTATAAGATTGATTCTGCTTTGTGCCTCCTTATTCAGCCTGTGTTTTGATACCGCATCCCACCCTTCAATATCGTACTCCCTGGAAACTAAGAGACTGTTTCTCAAAGGGACTCATTCATTTCTGTTTTTCATTGCCCTCTAGTGAGTTGCTGGGGTTACAGAGTGACGTTATCGAATGTTAGTTTTTGATACTTTTAACCAACATAGTCAAGTTTCTGGAAAAATGCAGGGTTACTAAGTCTAGAGTATTCAGTCTCACTGTTGACTTCATCAAAATAGGGGTTCATGTTCATATTGTGGTCTCTCTGTCTCTCTAGTCTTTATTTTTAAATTTGTCATTTTTATTTTCACTGTTCTCAATGTGTATCTCACATGTCAGAGTCACAGTTTATTCTTCCTATTCTCTCTTTGTAGTGGACTTGGAATTTTTTAAAAATATTTCTTTTAATCAACAAAAATGTTCCATTATGGTTTTCCTGATTTTAGTTGAGGAATATTAAACTGAGAGGCAGTTGTTAACACTTTTTTGATATTCCCAGACTATTATCCTATTGACCATCAGTCCCTCTAAAATCAGAGTTCTAAATAAATCATTTTTACTTCATTTTTGCTTTATTATGTCCTTTCCTTGTCCTGGTTAGAAAACAGGTTTTTTTTTTTTTCTACCTTTATGTTTTCCTACATTATATTTTGCTTCAGCAAAATATATTTGTAACATTTAGCACAATAAGGGTCTACTTGCATTTGGGGTGACAGTTAAATGTTCCTGGAATATTAGCTATGACCCTAAAACTTAGATAATTTATATTAAATTACCACTGAATTGTGATGATTGTTTGCTTAATTATAATAGATATCTGAAATTTCTCTAAAATACTTTCATCCCAAATGCTGGAAATGTGAATCAGATTTCTCTCTGTCCTTGATGCTGTCTTAGTTTGTTCATGTTTTGAAGGTGCATGTCCTCTGTCTTGTTTCACCTCGCCTCTATTATATTTTCATTATTACCTTAGAAACAAATGAGGGAAAGATGTGATTTTTCTTGTGCCAACCATAAATATGATTATTTTCCTTTCACTAGCTGTTTGGAAGATCAAGGGTAATCATCGGTCTAGGAAAATGTAATTAAAAAGGAAAAGCTTATGTGATCCTTCTACATGGTGACATAGGGCCTATCATAAAGAATAGATTTTCCACCTGAGAGTCAGCTGATTGATTTCTTGGTTGGATCCCGTCCTTAACCCTTCAGCAACAAAGTTTAGGGGAGTTAAGTGTAGAGGAACTTATATTGTTTATTAAATAAAATCACTTTTTAATCCTTTCTGCTATTTAAATATTTAAGTCTAATGTTCCTTAGTGTAACATTTGCAGTGTCTGTGAAAGAACGGGTAGCTAATAAATCACCATTGCCAATTGGCCGTAGGCTTAAATGTACCCTTAGTGCATCTTTTGAGTTTCTTTGAAGACTATTTCTCTTTTTCAAAATGTAATGATCCTCCTTTCATGGCAATCATTCTGAAACTATTAAAAGATGAACACTTGCTGAGCTTGTGGAATTTATGGAAAAAAATAATTGAAGGAAATAAGAGGAGGAAGGCACAAAAGAACTGAACAGTGAAATGATTCATATTTAGACATAATCTGCCTTCTGTGGCTATAGCTATAGGCTTTCAACATGTGTTATTAAAATGTATATGGACCAAAGATGACATAGAATACTGATTATAAACTTACAAGATAATTCCAAGGAAAGTTAGATAATTTTATATTATCATATTCATCTCTGTAGTTCAAATGCATAAAACATAAAGTTAAGTCTCCATGGTTGTATTTGATCTAATTAGGTTGCATTTTTGGAAGTGTTTTATTTTTTAGCTATCTCACACATGAAGCCTCCTAATCTTAATTTCTTTTTCTTTTTCCATAGGGTAAAAACATGACAATGTGTACAGTTCTCCCTTTATAATGTTCTAACAATAAATGCTGTCATTAAAAATAAATAAAATAGTATGTAGAAGGATCAATAACTGAAAGGAAATAATTTTCAAAATAGATAATATGTCCTAATGCCCACCCTCCTACTAGCTGGTTATGTTGTCCAGGGGATGGTTTATTTGATCTTTCTGGGATTATTTTCTCCTTCCAAGTTTAATTTTCATTTCATCCCTGAGGGGCCACTGATATGTTGGTCTCACATGTGCTCTTACCAGGATCAGGCCAGGTCCACTTGCTGTTCTGATGTTCCACAGCCTAAGAGCTTCTTTGTCCCTAAGGTGAATGACCTTGTACATTCCACAAGTGTCCACACACCCAGAACAAGGAGTTTCCTTATCACCTTTCAAGTCCTGTGGTGTTTCATTCCCCTGCCATGTTTAGGGAAGTTCCCTTATCTAGCTATTCCCCAGATAAAGCCCCCACCATACTTTTACTATCTTGAACAATGTTTCTTCTATATGTAGCTCCAACTCTAATTTTTCAAGTCAGTAGTGGGAAATCTTTAAATTGAAGGTCCATTGATTTGTGGGTGTGCTTAAATTGGATATGTCACTAGAAGTTTTGCTACAACTGGCTGAAAATTTTATTCATGGTGTGTTCTCTCCAATTTCTTCTTCATCCATTTTTTCTTTTTTACTCTGGATAAACACTCTTATAGAATTTTGAAACCCCTTTTTTAATATGGAAGCTTTTTTTACTTATCAACTTCATGCTGTTGCCACCTTCCAGATTTTCTATAGGATATGGTTGAAGAGAAGCAGGCATGAGAAATAGCAAAAAGGTATCTTTAACTTACCACTCTTTGTTTTCATGGTGACAAGGACACTGCTCAGAGGCTGGCATGTAAAAAAAGTCCAGTAACTATAAGGTAAAAAAGAGATTGAAATAATTGTGTGAAATATTAATGATATTCATGAAAGCAAAACCATATTTATATTGTCAAATTTTACTGAAAGCACTTGTATTTGAATGTAGTTTTCAGACAACTAAGCACTAATACTCTGGACTATACTCTGGATTTTATGTGTTGTTTTGATAATAATGGAACATGACTTTTGAAAATGAGATACCTGATTAAGTTCTGCTGAAACCAGATCAGACAATTTAAGGAAGGTAATGTTGGACGTTAAGGGTTGAATGCTGGTGAGGATGAATAAAATTGTAAGCTTTGAGTTTTTAAATATGTGTATCTATTTAACTACTAGATGCCACATTATTGATTAACAATTGAACGAAATGAGTTTAGAGTAATTCCTTTCCAGTTACCGTCCAATAGGCATATGATTCATACTTTGGAACACATACTAAGCAATCAAGCCCTTGCTGCGATGCTGTACTGCCAATTTGATAGATAGCTGGGTCCATAATGGAAACAAATGAATGTTTTGGCGAGGTTTGCAGGGCCAAACAGGGCAGAAAATAAAATTCCATTACCTCTGACTAAGCAGCTTGCTGTTATCTCCCTGTTTTAGAGACAGATGTAAAAGTTTACAAGTTGGTATCGTGTTAGGCCCTTACATCCTGGAGAATGAATTTGTTATATGGAAAGGACATCTTCTTTGTCTTTGGATCATCCACAGAAGGCCCTTGTGTTCTGCTCTACCTTTGCTTACTTCTGTCATCTTTTCTGCCTTAATTCTGTCTAGTTAATGCACCTCTTTTATGCTTTTATACTTACTTTCACTATATTATTTATGGAAAACTTCACATGTAAGTAATAAACTTATTTATGCCTTGTGAGATGATATAAAAATTAAAATACCTTAAAAAGAGTTTATAAATGTCTGTATAAGCTGAAATGAAAGCATATTTTAACCAGTGTTAATGTTCCTTTTCTGTAGCTATGCTGTCAAATGAATGTAACTGTAAAACTCATTCTC